TTTAGTCATTCCTCATGTCTGCTCTTTAGAATCTAGTGTTGAGCTCCTTCAGGTTTGTAGAAGGAAAAGTGAAATTAAGCTTAAGTACTTCATCGATTGTCAGAAGTTGTCTCTTAGATATCACCGATGCATATGATTTGACTATGTAAAGTGAGTAACAGTTACTTCAACTTTCTTTTACAGATGAGTAATGCGCCTTAGTATCTCATTGGATTCACCCTCTTGCAAGGTAATTATAAACACAAACCACCTTGTGCGGAGTGTTCTCCATCGATCATTTGCTCCTTTTTTGTGTCTGATTTGGTTGAAGTTGGCAGGTATTACTGATGGATGGAAACAAAGGGTTTAAAGCGGATTTGTGCAGAGGAGTGTGTTTGTGTGTGTTTTGTGCTATCTTTTGCAATCATGAAGTCTATGGAATCTCCTCTTAATTTATTATTTCTCAGTCCTTTTTTTTATAATTGACCATATGTGTATGACTTGCGTATTAAAAGAACTGATTTGGTATGAATATTTAACCCCTTTCGGGACTATGATCTTCATGTTCAGTTAAGTTACTTAACATAGTCCTATATTCTGGTCTGCCCTGGACAGAAGCTAGTTTGGGGTTAGTCTGGCCTGTTTGATCTTATTGATGCCTAATTATTCCAAAAAGAAAAACACGTCCCCTTAAAATATACGTTGTCGTGTAAATGTTCCTTACGTTATGGTAGAATGAATGATCGGTTTGTATAAGTTTAAGCTAATTGTCAAACTCGACGTATGGCATAAAGACCGGTTAGGTTTTTGGTTTTGACTTCTGCAAATTATGGACTGAAGCTTGAATCTTGTGACTACAGTCATATGCTTTTGATTGTGAAAGCCACCGAGTTTCCTAACAACTTTTTGTACTTTCTAATTTCAATTTGTAATGGCATCTTTGTCTTCTTTTGTCAAATAATGCGGTTAAGTTTCGAATGATTCTTTTTCTAATTGTAGAAAAAGGTTCATAGCTTAACATATACCACTTACGAAACAGCATAACGAATTTAAAATATCTGTTAGATTATAATATTTTGACAAAAAGGTTAAATGAGAACCACATGTTTCTATAATCATATAACCAATAGATAATTTGATAAGACACCCCAACGGTCCAACCCCACCCAAACCATTCTCACTAACCATAGATTTTTTTTAATTTTCTTAAACAAACTAAAACGTGTTTTGGAAGGATCAGAATTTTTTTCTATATACAACCAAAGCATAAAACGAAAGAGTAAACTATTATCCAAAGTACTATAGCATACAAAGATGAGATCATGTGAATCAAGAAGATGGTGAGATAAGTTTAAGGCAAGTAAAAGTAAGCACGGAGATGGCATTATCCTCAACTCCTCAAGGGACCATCGAAAACAGTTTGCGGACTCGACAGATATGACAGGTTCAATGTTTTTTGACGAATGATAGAAACTTTCAGGACACATAAAACTTCTTAAGAAAATCTTGAATTTATATAATTTCATTTCTGTAGTCCCCACAGTTTTATTTTTGAGTGGTCGACATTACAGCGCAAACCACAATCATATATATATATATATTGCATATCAATCAATATGTCAATTCTTCACCAGTCTCCCCCATTCCTCTGAGCCATAGAATCATCTAATATAATAAAACCTTAAACTTATAATCGAAAATATGAAACTCGAATCTAATAACCATTCCATATACATAAGAATCCAAATTAGTTACTTAGATTAAAAATCAACGATAATAAACCAGTTTACAACAAAAAAAAACAGTAAAATGATATTTAAAAAGATCAAATACAAATGTTTAATATTTGATTCTGTACGACAAACAAGAGTACAAAGACACAACTTCCTCACTAAAACAAGTACTGTTAGAATTTAAGAAAAAGAACGGTGTTGATGTACCAAAGAAAAAAGAGGATAATTTCAACGGCTGAGATTACTCCTCGTTTTAGAGATGAGAGAAGACGACGAATTAACGGCGCCGCTCAATGTTCTCTCTCCTTCTAATCTGAACGCCGGTTCATCTCTTGACGGTCGTTTCAACGGCGGAGACTCTTGAGTTGATGAACATCCGATCTCCTCCTGCATTAAACAAAAACGAAACATAAATTAAAAACCAAAACTTTCTGCTAAAATTTATTGGGAAATAAATTAAAATTAAAACTTTGATTTGTTTTAAGGATAGATCCGTACATCGGAGCACTCTCTCGTCCTCTTCGCCGCCAGATCTCCACCTCCGCCGTCAGAAGATGACGAACTCATCATCGGAGCAGACCACGGCACCACTTGATTCTCCGCTTCCTCATCATCCTCCTCTCCATCTTCATCACTGTACTCCTCATCTTCATCTTCATCCTCATCATCGTCGTAAGACTCGGCGCTATCACCGTCATCATCCCGGCGCCTGAGCTGAACACCCTCATTGACCTCCTGACTCTGATCGGTGCTAACACCTCCTCCTCCACCGCCACCGCCGGCGGCGGATTTAAGAGCGACGCACGAATCGCAGACGGAGAAGGTCGGGCCGAGACGGAGGCCTGAGGCTTTCCACGGCGTCGGTGATTGGCAGGCGCTGCAGAGAAGACACCGAGTGTGCTTAGCGACGAGGAAGTTAGCGCCGTGAACTTTGGCGTCGCAGTTCCAGCAGAGACTCGCCTGATCTGACTCGCAGTACATTCTTGCAACACCGTTGCATAAATCACACTTCTTTCCCATTAGATTCACTCTTTTGAGTTTTTGTTTTGTTGTTTCTCTTTTGGTTTTGTTTTTATGTTTTTTTTTCTCTTTGGGACACAGAAATAAGGTGAAGCAAGAGGTGAGGAAAGTGCAAGTTGCAGGACAAGGATAATTTTCGTGGCCAGTTTTCTGTGATTCAATTCTCTTTTTTTGAGGCTACTTTCGTCTTTGTGTTTTGACTCTGGCAGAAAAAATCTATTTCTCTTCTTTGGTTTCACAATGGCTTCTTTTTATATAGGACACATTCTTTATTTATGTGGTTAGGAACATCTCATCTCCATTTAACTACTATTTACTACTTTCTTAAAGCATATTGCATTAAGTAGAAAAAAATCGATTCAATATTATTTTTTTAAGAGATTGGTGTGATCTTTTTGTTAAGAGATTTTTGGCTAGGTTTTCAACGCCAATAAAATACAAAACCTTATGCAAATAATGGTAGAAGGGTTGTTTATGTTTCGATTTTAATAAAATAGATTAAGCTTTTACGTTGTGTTTTTTTTAACTATTTGAACATTTACTTTACTCATGTTTAGATCATAACAAAATTTATTTACCTTATGAGTTTATGGGTGTTGAATCTTGAATGGTTGATGACTAACAAAAATACACCATACTTTACAAATCCTAGGAAAGTAATCTACTATATTTTTTGTTAAAAGAAAGTAATCTACTTATCTGGTAACAATCAATACATAAGCTCTGTATTAATATGTATAAAATGATTTAACCTGGTGTGAAAACAAGTTAATGCGTATGGTCCAAACGCCGTTTTACGTGGCGACCAACTCGCGGTAGAGTTCCAAGATATTTTGTGGGTGATTTTGTAGTAGATGACGTGGCGAGATATCAGCCTTGAGAGAAGGAGAGCGAGATTCTGCTCCGTCCTACGTGGACGAATCAGGTTCTCAAAGGGCTCAGGAGCCACGTGAGCCCACCTGGGATTTGTCTGGACCTTAAGACAAGTCTAATGGGGCCTACTCTCTCTCAATGATCTTTCTTTTATAACCACTTGTTTTGTTTTGTACTTCTCCCATACTTCTCTTCCAAAACATTGCGTTTGTAAGCTTTTCTGATAGACGATAAGATAATGATGAATTTAAAAATTCTAAAAATATGTATCGGTATGGGAAGAAATAAAATCTTTATAGTTTATAGCATAGGTGAGGATCACATTATCTACTTGGCCCATGGTTCTTTAATGTTGTGCAATATAATATCTAACTTGAGTTGTGTGTGGCTCTGGCGAACCCATTAAAAAATAAAATTTTAATTCTGTAATAAAAGTATAACCACATGGTATGAAATGATGTGAATAAAGAGATTGTGTACCTAGGTAGCATGTTCGATATGGGGAAATTCTACGTGTCGAATAACAGTGGTGTGAAGAATCACAGGAAGATGAGATGTCATGATGAGAGCAACAGTCTGTAAAAAAGTTTGTGGTGTGTAGTGGTTTACTTCGTTACTGTGGTTTCTTAAACTTTTCTTTTGCGTGGATAAGAATTTTCAGAATTCTACATATTTTATGTACACATATATAAGTAATTTGTCCGAATAGTTGGATACATCCCTTCTTCTCAGTTCACATATCCTAAGAGGTGTGGCATGTATTGGTTTTAGAGGATATGCATCATTGCTGACTCCACTTCTTTCTTAAATATTTTGTTTACACTGATAAAAAGCTGCAACAAAAACAAATGTAAGTTGTGTTTGTTAATAATTTGATTTATTAGTATTCAAGTGTTCAACACGAAAATATTACAATTAGAATTTAAACTACTAAGGTCGTTTTTTAATTCTGGCGCAAGGTTGGCTGGAATTGATGGATCTAATAGTGTCTAACTATCAAAAAAGTCCATGATAGCATATAGTATGTATTTTCATCTGGCTAGACATATATACTTACTGGAAAACTAATCGATCTTCTATGTCGAATTAGAGTTTGTGGTGATGAGTGATGATCAATGGCTTGTTTCATTTACGTTTGGTCTAAATTTGAATAAAATGTTTTATGTCATTTTGTATCAAAAATGTTCAAAATGAACGAATATATACGGAGATATCGAATAAAACCCATCAAGAAGTCCACTAATCTTCCATATCGAAAATTTACACGTTTAAAATCCTTAAAATGATACGTTTATAAGAAAAAAGACTTTAAAAGACAGTGCATAAGTTTTTTTGTTGGGTAGACAAGACATTGCATAAGCTAAGGCCTAAACGTATATTAACATGTGCCTCTTTTGTCCACGTTTTTTTTCCTCTTTCTCTGCATTCACGTTTTCTGGTATCTCTTACCTTCTCCACGTCGAAAAGTGTAAGCATTAGATAGATCTTTCACTAGAGACAACCAACAATCTTATATCTGTTACGTTTTCATGTGCCAAAGTTAGGTATTGAATCTGTATGGTAAATAACAGTTCATGCCATCTTGTCACTAGACGTATGGTCCAGATTCCTAGAAAACTTCGTACTTGCCAAAGAAAGTTGTCCGCTCAAAAACGTGAAGCGTACCAACAGTTTGAGTTTCACGTGCTAACCGGAAAGCTTACTAGCAGTTTGAGTCGCAAAAACACTTTAAAAACTACTTTAGAATGTAGTATAATGTTTAGAACATTGAGCTTTTGAAATTTAAATGCTAGTGACCAAAACGGGTTTCATTCAGTAAGTTGTGTATTAGACCGTCCTATTATCTAGAAAAACATTAATCTGCAACAGTTTGAAACATTTGCATAATCAAATCTCTCCAGCATATATGAATGAACAGTTTTTTATTATCCATATCCAGATTCTAGAGTGATATAAACAAACATCATCAAATCTTTATAGATTAATTCAAATTATGTTCTAAAGCGAAGTTTCATATAGAGGTTTGGGTCGTATTTGGGCCTTGGCATATCAATGTCATTAGGTCATAATGCAGAGTTTCTTGTACATAGTTTTCCTTATCAAGATATTTCAGATCTTTCCACAAGTTTCTCATTAAAATTTAGGATCTATCACTGAAAAGACTAGATCAATAATCATAATGCAGGGTTTACATAGATTCTATTTGAATCGTTGTAATGTTTTTATCAAACTATCAATGATCTGATTCTGACATCTGACTAGTCCCCTTATTATGTGGACTAAGTCAAGGAAGATTGGCTAGATCTTATTTATTGCTTTTGTCCTTGTTAGGCTTGTATACTCTTCTAATCAGAGAAACTTCTAACATTGCCCCTCTAAATTTAATGTAGTGGATCATATTTTGTCTCTGTATTCAAACAAAACACCCTAATATATTATAGTTTAATACTACTAAAGAAAATTTTTCTCATTGAGAATTCAACACTCAACAGCCACATTCAAGCTGCATTGAATTCCTATTGACTTCTGGTTATGCCAAGTTGGGTTGGGGAGCTTGATAAAAATAGTTATGTATATGATATTCATACCATATATTATTATGATTCACTTTCTTAGGTAAAGAACACAGAGCTAGAAAGAGAAGGGTTTCTACTTTTGATCAAAATAACATATTCTAAAAGAGGGAGGTTTCATTCAATGAGAAAGATTCCTTCTTTGTTTTGTGTATCTTTGTTCTTATTATCATCTTCTTTCTCTGCTGCTTTAGACTATAGTGTCATCACTCCAAGAGATTCTCTGAAGGATGGAGATACTCTTAGTTCTACAGACCATGTCTTCCAACTAGGGTTCTTTAGTTTCGACCAAGAAGAGCAGCCTCAACATCGGTTTCTTTGCTTGTGGTACAAGCAACCATTTGCAGTCGTTTGGGTAGCAAACCGAAACAACCCTCTCTATGGCACTTCTGGATTCTTGAACTTGAGTGCTCGTGGCGATCTTCAGCTATTCGATGGAGAACACAGAGCCTTGTGGTCATCATCAAAAGCTACTACTAAACCGGCAAAAAATCCCTACTTAAAGATCAACTGTACAGGGAATCTTGTCTTGAGTGATGATGAAGAAGAAGTGTTGTGGCAAAGTTTTGATGATCCAATGAATACAATACTCGCGGGTATGAAGCTTGGGAAGAACTTCAAGACACAACAAGAATGGTCTCTAACGTCTTGGAAAACCCTAAAAGATCCATCCACTGGTGAGTACACTCTGTCTCTAGACACTCGAGGCTTACCACAGTTAATCTTGAGGAAGAAAGGAGATCCAAGTTATTCATATCGCTTAGGATCTTGGAACGGGTTATCCTTCACCGGAGCTCCAGCTATGGGACGAGAGACCACCTTATTCAACTACAAATTCACTTCGAGTGCGCAAGAAGTAAACTACTCGTGGACCCCACGACGTGATATTATCTCAAGACTAGTTTTAAACAACACAGGGAAGCTCCAGAGGTTTATACAGTCGAAGCAACACGAGTGGATCTTAGCAAACACAGCACCAGAAGACGAGTGTGACTACTACTCAATATGTGGAGCTTACGCAGTTTGTGGGATTAACAGCAAAAACAAAAACACACCTTCATGTTCATGTTTGCAAGGGTTCAAGCCAAAGTCAGGTCGAAAGTGGAACATTTCGAGAGGAGCAGACGGGTGTGTCCATGAGGTTCCGACCAAATGTGGTAAGAAAGATATATTTGTGAAGTTTCCAGGTATGAAGTTACCAGACACTTCATGGTCTTGGTATGATTCAAGAAATGCAATGACACTTGAGGATTGTAAGATCAAGTGTTCAAGTAACTGCTCTTGCACGGCTTACGCGAATACTGATATTCGTGAGGGAGGAAAAGGTTGTTTGCTTTGGTTTGGTGACTTGTTTGATATGAGAGAGTATGCTAGTTTTGGACAAGATGTTTACATAAGAATGGGGTTTGCTAAAAAAGAGTTTAAAGGAAGAGAAAAGGTGGGAATGGTTGTTGGATCTGTGATGGGCATTGCATTTGTTTTGGTTGTAGTATTTGCATGCTATAGAAAGAAGATTATGAAGAGATATCATGGTGAGTTTCTTAAATTAGCAATTCTCTTTTGTAACTAAGTTATTGTCTCTGAAGTATTTTGTATTTTTCAGGAGAAAGTTTGATCAAAGGAACTAGGGAAGAAGACATGGACATGGACTTGCCTATTCTTGACATTAAAACGATTTACATAGCCACTGATGATTTCTCATACATGAACTTTCTAGGAAGAGGAGGGTTTGGACCAGTTTACAAGGTTGTAAATAATATATTTATCTCATTTAATTTAGATTCTAGAAGTCTTGATGAATCTTGACTTATGATTTAACTTTTCTTGCAAGTTATTACAGGGTAAGCTAGAGGATGGGCAAGAGATTGCGGTGAAGAGATTATGTGAAAACTCAGGACAAGGAGTTGTAGAATTCAAGAATGAAGTTAAACTGATTGCAAAACTTCAACATCGTAACCTTGTGAGGCTTTTAGGATGTTGCATTCAAGGTGAAGAACGTATGTTGATCTATGAGTATATGCCTAACAAAAGCTTAGACTTCTTTATCTTCGGTATGTTTATTACTTTACAAACTCAAATCTAATCATCTTATTATAGCTTATTATAAGGCAATGACTTGTATAACTTAGTAATTGTCAAATGTGATTGTAAATAAAGATGAAAGGAGACGTAGAGAGTTGGATTGGAGGAAGAGGAGTAACGTTATCCATGGAATAACACGAGGGCTACTTTATCTTCATCAAGATTCGAGGTTGAGGATCATACATAGAGATCTAAAAGCTGGAAATGTTTTACTAGACAATGATATGAACCCTAAGATCTCAGATTTTGGACTAGCCAAATCTTTTGGTGGAGATCAGAGTGAATCAAGCACAAATAGAGTCGTGGGTACATAGTAAGGCCTCTCTATATATATTTATTTATATTTCATTTATTGCGGTATTGGTTATATAAATTATTTTGCTCTGCATGTCCATAAGTGGTTACATGCCTCCGGAGTATGCAATTGATGGACACTTCTCAGTGAAATCCGATGTGTTCAGCTTTGGTGTATTAGTACTTGAGATCATAACTGGCAAGACCAACCGTGGGTTTCATCATGCAGATCATGACCTTAACCTTCTTGGACACGTAAGATTATTCTTCTTTAAATTAAAACTCATTTTTGGGTATACTAGAAGTCTAATATTATATGAAGTTCATAGAGTCTCTTTTTTTTTTTTTATATCAATATAAGGTGTGGAAACTGTGGGTTGAAGATAGAGCAATAGAAGTACCAGAGGAAGATTTGCTGGAAGAGACATGTGTGGCCTCAGAGATTCTAAGATGCATCCATGTGGCTTTGCTTTGTGTTCAACAGAAACCAGAAGACAGACCAAACATGGCTTCTGTTGTCTTGATGTTCGGGAGTGACGGTTCTCTCCCTGATCCTAAACAACCTGGCTTTTTCACCAACCGGAACGTTCCAGATGTTTCTTCATCTCTAAGTCGTTCAGTAAACCAAGTTTCCATTACTATGATACAAGGTCGTTAGAAGAAATAAAGATCATGTATAAACTATGGTTGGTAAAATGTAATGTGTCACCAAACAAAAAAAATAGTAAGCGATTAAAGAATATACAGAAGATTGATTACAACTTACAAGGTTTTATCTAGGATCTATTACACTCATGGTTTGAAAATTTTTGGAAGGAATCTCCAGATTAATCGATGTAGTGTCAGAATACAAGAGATTCCGTTCGTTGTAAAACCCAGGCTCTTTCGGATCAAGAAGCAACATGTCACTACTCAGCATCAGAACCACCACTGACATGGTTGGTCTGTCTTGGGGATCTTGTTGTACACATAACAGGCCGATATGAATCGCTCTCAACACTTCAGAAACATTTGTACAGGATTCTTTGAAAGATTCATCGATTAACTCACATGCCTTATCTTCTGTGTATTGCCTCCAAGCCTAACAAATAATAATTTATGAGTACTTTAAGCGAAGAAAGATGAGTTAAGTTGTGTTGCTTCTACTTACGTGTCCAAGAAGGTTCAGCTTGTGTTCTTGATTGCAGAAACCGCGGTTTCTTTTTCCTGACAATATCTCCAAAACCAAAACTCCAAAGCTGAATACATCGGATTTTAATGAGAAATACCCGTCGATTTGATACTCAGGAGACATATATCCACTGCAGAAATGGAAACAAAATCTTTAACAAATAATAATATTTTAGGTTTCTTTACTTGGAAGACAAGAAAGATGACTAGTCTTACTATGTTCCAACCACTCTGGTTGTGTTTGCTTCAGTTTCATCTCCTCCCAAGGTTCTAGCCAATCCAAAATCAGAGATTTTTGGAGTCATATCGGAATCAAGCAAAACATTGCTTGCTTTGAGATCACGGTGGATGATTCTAAGCCTTGAATCTTGATGGAGATACATCAGTCCACGAGCTATCCCTTTGATTATTTCCACACGTTTAGGCCAGTCAAGTTCTTTGCGACGTTCTTGATCGAAAATGAAAGAATCCAAGCTTTTATTAGGCTGATACTCGTAGATAAGCATTCTTTCATCTTCCTCAACGCAGTATCCAAGAATTTTGACAAGATTACGGTGTTGTAGCTTTGCAATGAGTTTGATCTCGTTCTTGAATTCTTCTATACCTTGTCTTGACGTTCTTGAAAGCCTCTTTACAGCTATTTCTTGTCCACAAGACAATGTTCCCTGGTAAAAAAAAAAAAAAAAAAAAAAAACAAATGAATAAAACCATATCAGTTTTCCGCAGATATCGAAAATCGGACAAGCATGGCGGTTCTTGTTATAGCCCGATGAAACATTGGCCTTGACTTCTAGATTTTAATGAATTATTATACATATGTTGCATGCTAGCTTCTTAATTGTCAAAAAAAAAAATATTAAGCCACTCCTGCGGACAAGAAGCTGCTGAGTTATTACCTTATAGACAGGTCCAAAACCACCTTGTCCAAGTTTATTCTCATCAGAAAATCCACATGTAGCTTCTGCAATAGCCTCAAGATCAAGAAATGGTAATTCAGCATCTTCCTCCTCTTGTTTTCTGCTCGAAACACGGTCTAAATCTTGCTGTGAAGTTTCTGAATATATCAAAAGGGTTTTATCAACTTATAAGCACAATCTTTAAATCAAGACACTTCAACTCAAAGAGACACAAGCGGTTACCTATTATTGAAAGTTTCTTTCTCTTCAGTTTGCACACAGACAGAACTATGCAAAGGCAAATAAGAAGCATTGCTGTACAAAATACTATAATTAGCATGATCCTCATCTTGCCCTTCACGTCATAGTTTTTATACTTTGCTGTGAACAAACAAAAAAAAATGAGGAAGAGTTACGTAAGAAAATATGTTTTTTTTTTGTTTTCACAAAATCTGGACTTACTTATTTCAGAAGTAGCAAGCCTCACATAAAGATCTTGTCCATTTTCATTATATTCTCTTATATCAAGCAAGTCTCCAAACCAGAGAATACATCCACTTCCTTTATCTCTAATATCAAAAGGTGAATAAGCTGAACAAGAACAGTTTCTCAAGCATACCCTCTTACATTCATTCAAATCCATTTTCTTATCATACCAAGAACCTCTAGTATCAGGTAACTTCAACTTTGAAATCTTCAGAAAGTCTTCTTCTCCTTTTCCACAACCCATTTTCACTTCTCTAACACACCCTCCTGACCAGTCCCCTGCATAATAAGCCTCTGGAGATTTAGGAACAAACCCTTTTAAACACCTACAAGCTGGAGATTCATTGATGTTGCAGCTTCCGTAAGCGCCACACAACAAGTATCGATCACAGCTATCCGTTGAAGCTGATAGATAGAAGTTCCAGCTTTGAAGGCTATCGACCCAAGTGTAACGCTGCAACGCTCCGTTGGGAAGTAACTGCATTCTTGTGATCACTGAAGGGTTTTCAAGCTTGTAAGTGTAGTAAACTTCTTCCTCCGTGAACAGGAACTCGTATCGATAAATAGGGTTAGGTTTTAGATGAGGCATACCAGTGAATCTTAGACCATTCCATGGACCAGCCCTGAAAATATCAACGGAGTTTTTCTTCAAGAAAAACTGTGGAACACCGCTTGGATCCATTTTATTCGTGTAGTTACCAGTTGATGGATTGTCTGGAGATATCCAAGAAGTCAAGAACCGGTTTATTCCGGTTACAAAATTTATACCATATTTCATTCCTGGAAGAAACGTATCTCCTGGGTAATCTAAACTCTGCCAAATGTAATCTTGATCATCCCCTGAGTTTCTCACAACTAAGTTACCTGTATCAAGAATCTGAACAATAGGGTTTCTTACAACGGGTTTCCCCAAAGAAGATGATGACCAGATGAAATAGCTTCCGCCACTGAAGAGACGTAAGGTCCCGTTAGCAGAGATTTTTAGGGCTCCTGAGAGGTCGTAGAGAGGGGAATCTCTGTTTGCGACCCAAACAATGGTCTGGAGAGAGACTTTCTTGTACCAGATACCGAGATAACGGTTTCTTGATCCTCCAGGAGAGAAAAAACCAAGCTCGAAGCTACCACCTTTTGAAACAATGGTGTCTCCGTCTTTAAAAGTCTGGTTTGCTGTTATAATATCGGTTGCTTCTGCAGCAAGAAAGGTTAAAAACAGTGAGATGAGGAGCAGAGGAAGCACTTTAATGGCTTCCATAGCGGTTCCACAGCTCCTGTGGAGCCGGAGGGCGTTGGAAACGATGTTTCTAAATAAAAAATGATGTTAATCTCTTAGTTATTGATGGCATTAAGTTTTTTAATTATTACTTGTTAATGTGAGATATGGGAGATAATTGCAATGAGTAGTAGCTGTGCAATATCTTGGATCATGTTATTATTGGCTCTTAATGTCAACCACAACGTGACCAATACTATGTTTATGTTTATATATACTTTAGGACAATCGGCAAAGATGGAACGATTCAATGAAGATGTTAATTTTTTTTTTTTTTTAACATTTGGAACCTTTTTTATTGTTCATGTGGAACTAGATAATGTAAGAAAAAATGTTATTAAACCAAGATAAAAGATAAAAGAAACTCAAGTGGGAAACTTTTAAATTTACAGAAATAAGCGAGTCAGAGACAACGAAGCTTTAAGAGAACACTCTCTGCACAATGATCAATGAATAAATATTGTGAGCTTGTGCTGGGCTCTCCCGACCCGACCCGTTTAAAGTCTGCCAGACTGCCACTAACGATCGGGGTGATGCACGATGAGTTCAGTAGAAATCAATAAAGGCCTCATATTATGTATACTTAAGATTCCACTGATTTTTGGCAAAGAAAGGAGATTCCATTGATTATTCATTAGAAGAAGATTCCATTGATTTAGTGAGAGCGTTTTTAGGTTTATATAGCTAATATTTTAACTACAAAGACGAGCTATACAGAAGGTATAATATCTTGAGTTTATGGGATATGTTTCACGATACATTTGTGAGAGGTTTTGATAATAGCTTAGTTAATGGTTAATAAGCGAGGCAAGACTGACCCAAGACCTAAGAGCATCTCCAATGTATTACTCCATTTTCTACTCTAAAATGGAGTAACTCCAAAATGCAGTTGAGTTTTACTCCAATGTATTACTCTATTTTCTACTTCAAAAGAATATTTTTAATATTATATTTATTTCAAAATTAGGAATATTACCTTTCATTTATACTATTTTCAAAACAGTCCATTTTAAATTTATAGCATTTCTATTAAATACAATATTAACCACAATTAAATTTTTATTATATAAATAAAACTACTCAACAAGGTTTTAAAAGAATACATTTAATACATTAAAAATTACATTATATAGCTTAAACACAATAATACATCAATTCTAAATTATTCATTAGAATTATAATAATTTTCCCACA